GCGCTCTGATGCATTGTACTTGGCATCTGAAAATACATTTCCTCAAAGGTATTTTTGAATCTGAAAAGAGCTTCACTGAGTGAGGTGAGAAGTAGTGTTGAGAGCAGCAGACAGTTTAAGTTTCACTTTGCTCTGTTACTGCCGAGAGCCTGCAGGAGTCATTGGTGGGGTGTGTGGGGTGAGGAGGTGTGCTCCGTGATGAGGAAGTTTGGCTTAAAGACATGTCCCAGGGGCGTTTCTGGTCCCCACCTGTCGTTTTGCTCCTCAGCATGGCTTCCTAAAAACGCTGCAGGATTTCTCAAACATGGATGAATGAGTCAAAGCAAGGCTTTGGGCTTGTTTTTTATGAGAGTATAACATTATAGCATGATATAAAACTCAAAAAAGTTGATTTTACATTATATTGCCCCTTTAATACTCCTATTATAAAACACTTTCTATTCACTGAAGCAGACTCACTATTTGGCAAGATCATAGTGAGCCTGCTTCAATGTATAAACACTGATGCTAATCCTTTATTGTTTACAAATGCATAAATAACCTGTTTAAAAAGCATTAACTCCTTTTATAAAAGAGAATATGAAGTGGTACCAAAATTTCACAGCTTGTCAAGATGATGATTTTATAAATGTTTTTATTTTTTCCCACATTTTATATTGCATTAATAATTACATATTTGTATGGATATTTACAGTGGCTGGCACAGCTCCGCAAACCCGCTAATATCAGAACTAGCTTGTCACTTGTTGCTTTGGAAACTGTTAGTGGGCCAATAAGCTTCTGCTATATTAGGTTCCACTGATCTTAAGTGCACTACAGATTTCACAAGTTTAAAACTTCTGTTTTTGTGCCATTTACTCAGAATTAAATAAAAAATGTCCCCCGACAGTGCTGGACATGTCAGCACCATGTATGTAGCATGCAGCATCTTTAGCAGCTAAACTTCAAACTAGGAGCATCAAAAATAAATAGAATAAAATTTAACAATATTTAAATAATGAATACAAAAACTGACTCCGTATAAAATATGTTGGAGAAAGGATTTGCTGTTGTTTGATGAACTTTAAACAGTATTTATAAAAATACAAACTCAAACAAAGAATTGCTTTTATTCTTAAATGGGTAAAGTTTGCATCAGTCCCACTAGTCTAACTGGAAGGAGATGAAAACACTGCTGAGTGATCATTGTTTTAGTGGTTAGTGTTAGCTTCCCCTAATTTTTTTTATGTTTTTAGTGGATTAGCATTAGCGGAGCTAAGATTCTTGTTCAGCAAAGTAGTGGTTGGTGAACCTAACTTTGTGGGTATCTGTGCCCACTATCAAACAGTGGCGGAAGCAGCTAGCTGTAGCACTTTTAGTTTAGTTTAGCAGTGTTTAAAACTTAGTCCAGAGCTGGCAAAATATTGGTTATCTGCAGGGGCCTCGACAGACAGAACCACAGGAGGTCACATCCATTGGTTTGGTTGTTCATTCATGTCTCGCCTTTCTGTGTGTCTGTAGTCGAAAACGGGCAGCCAATCAGATTGGCGCCCCCCCAGCTTCCCTAGCCACTCGGCTCTCCGAATCGTCAGCCCTCCCGCCACGAGCCGTGAAGGCCAGGAGCAGGAGGGCCAGGAGGTGGAGGAGGTAGGACCGGGAGGCTGCGTTGTGCCTCCTCACTCCCCCCTTCAGAGGTCCCTCCCCCGACTTAAGAAAGCCCTGCCACTGTTCAGTCCTCCTCTTCCTCCTCATCCCTCACATCATCCCACGCCTCCTCCTCATGCTCCTCAGGATCCTCATGTGCAGCATCAGGCCCTACAAGTCTGTAGGAGGTGAGAAATGACGACTTTCTGTCCCCCTCCCACCACCCGCTGCCTCAGCTCACTTTGATTTCAGAAAAACTGGGATAATGTGACGTTTGCTGCCCCACCTGTCTCCACTTGTTACCTCACCTATTAGTTGTGTTGTCAGCCTTAATGTAGAGCTTACGTTTGTTTTTTGCATGGCACAAATTAGCCTCCTGCTTTTTATTTGTAAAAACTGAAAAGCTGTTTATGAAGTTATCAATCAGCAGTTAGAGTAAAATTAATCATCCCAGTTCCTAAGATGATTTGAAAAGCTCTGAAATGTGGTAGATTTTATAATTTATGTTTTTGCTCCTTTTTAAATGAGTAATAAAATGCAAAGACAAAAAAACAGAGCCACACAGGATTTAAATTGGAATTTTAATTTCGCCCTAAAGCCACAGAGCCGAGCACTGATCTGTTCATTTCACAGAACGCTGCAGTCTTTTAGTCTCCCTCCATTAGATCGGGGGTCAGCACACAAAAATAATGAACACCTAATCCTTTTATATCCATCCGTGCCTCGACGTCACATTTTCATTCCATTTCACCATCGCACACCTCAGATGCATCCTGGTTGTCTGTCATCCTCCTTTCAGCTTCACAGAAAAACAAAAAATAAAACATGTGCAGTTCAGGCTCAAAGGGAGAAAACTGCAAAAAAAGGCAAAACTTGAAAGAAAGCGCCGCCGCCTTTGTCTTCTCGGTGAAACACAAAGCAAACAGGAGGGACGGGGGTGACGCTCGATGCAGCTGATTAGAAATCACCGGAGGGTCTGCAGCTGAAGCGAGGAGGCGGAGGGAGAACTGAGCCTCGCTTTATCCATCTGAAGCTTTCACTGGACCCCCCGCCCCCCGTCCAAAACCAGCTTAGACTTGCAATTACAACACGCGAGGCAATCACCGTTATTTTGTGTTCTGTCACTCTCCCAACCCCCAGTGCACCCCCCCACCACCACCTGTGAAACCCCCTCCACCCTCCTTATCGTTTTCCCCTCCTCTTCGTTGACAAGAAATCTGTCTTTTTTTCTTCCTTCCCTCAGCCTTCCTGAAGCCAACACTGCGACACCATCCGACTCCGGGGGGACGGAGGAAGAAAAAAGCAAAGAATATCTTACAAAAGAGGAAGAGCTGTACTCTCAGTACTTCACTTTCTGACCGGCAAAAAAAAACTCATCCCAATTCTGTCAAAAAAAAAAAAAAAGAAGTAGTAATGGGACAGGAAGCTAGAGCTTGACAGTCGTTTGATGGATTGAGATTATGTCAGACTTTCAGCAGATTTCAGTCTAACTTTAGGGCTTCCATAGAACATGAAGAGGAGCAGAACTTATCAGTGCTTCATCATGACAAACATGGCTAAGAGGAGGTGGAAGGGAAAGATTCAGAATAATTTATTTCATTGTTCAGACCACCTACACTTAAAACTTTTGAGCTCTGTTACTAAGAAAATCATCAACCTAATCAACAGGTTGGATTTTTAAATTCTGAATTTCAGCAGGTTGCTTGAGTTTAGTTCAACCCATGGTAATGGCCAAGTCAAATCTGAGAAATCAATGTAAAAATGTCAAAATAAAATGCCATATAGTGTTTAAAATGAACAAATCAAGATGAGTACTGTTAGTAAATCTATATATTTTAATAACCGGTTCAGCTTTGTATTGTAAT